GAATAATAAGGAAATTGATTAAATGAAATATTCTTTGATATATTTTCTTTTCTACTGACTGCAGCAGTAGATGTTGCAATAGTAGTAGATAAATGATTATTGTTTTGTTTCGGTTGCATCATTTCATTTCTATTTTCTGAATCTGTAATATGAACAATCTTCGGATTGTTATCGTTACTGTTATTGTTGTTGTTGTTATTATTATCAAGTTCTTTTGATTTCTTGTCATAATACGTGACATTTCCTCTCATCTCTAACTTATTATTAAATTTTATATTAATTTCTTCATAATTTGCACAATCTCTGCCAAATCTTTCAACCTAATAATAACAATATTTTATAAACATCCAATAAATAATTCAAAAACAATTACTAATAATTAATATATATATACCATCCTTGAAGTGCAAAGTTGTACAAAGGTGTATTTATCTGATGGTTTAAATGTCCAAGTTGTACCCATAACAACACTTTTACGTGCAATAGGCAAAGTAGGGATTTCTCTTAAATTTCTTTCATATGTTACTTGATTTTCCAACATAGAATAATCTTAAAATAAATAAATAATAAAATAAAACTTTAATAAACAACTTTTTCAAGTAATTCAATCAAGTAATTAATTGAATAAATAAAATACCAGGTATTAATAACATTTTGTCATTCGCTTTGCCTCTCTCTCTTTTCTTTTCAAAATATACAACAACTAAGTTAATATTATAACGGTCTAAATAAGATTAATATTCATTATAATAAAAATGTCTTCACATATAATAAATAACACCAACATAAATTATAATAAGAATAAAATTTGTAATCAAACAGCTACTTCTTTATTGGAGCTTGATTCAAACATTCCTTATAATATATTTATAAGGAATTTAAAATCATTAAAAGCTGGGCAAGTTGTTGTAAATTTTGATATAATACTTGAAAAGAATAGAATAATATTTCACGGCTCACGTGATGATAGTAAAATAAGAACTGTGAGAGGTAAAGTGAGGCTTGAAGTGGCTGGTAAATTAAATGTCAAGGTAATTAAAATATTTATTTATATATTTGATCAATTTAATTAATCATTAATTGATTATAGTTAATTTTGTAAAATCACTTGCTACTATTAGGAAATCATTCTATCACTTGTAGGTGATTATAATATTTCCTTAGATTTAATGAATGACATATCATCATCATTATCACCATCATCACCAACATCATCATTGGAATCATTGGAATTATCATTACCAGAAAAACAAGGAACTGTCTTTTCAAGTTCCATATTATTAGAAAAT